ATAATAAAAAAATTATAATTTTAGTACTATATTTTCTACTACGTTTTTTTGCTACAGCTACTTCTAAAACTGATAAAAATCGGTAACTTTGCTTAAAAAAGGTGTTCCAATATTAAATGATTTAAGACTAATATTAAAAGAAATAAACATTTTATATATTTTGAAGTGAAAAAAATATTTAGTGCTTTTAGAATGACGTATTTTTTAGATTTTTCAATTCTACTACTATTTTTGGAATAATGTTTCTACTACCTTTTTTTGCTACTACTATTTTTATTTTTTATAAAAATCGGCAAAATTGTGTAAAAAGTCTGATTTTATGGCAGCCTTATTATTGGTATAACGTTTTCAAGTCTACTACGTATTTGTTTGTGTTTACTTTTTTACTACTTTCCGAACTCAGCGCGCTTGGAAAAAAATAAGAGACTTAAGAGATTGGGTTACAACTTACTAGCAACAATATACTCGAGTTACAGTACCTCGAAACTCCTAAAAAATTAACAACAAATAAAGTGAAATATTTCTTTGGTACATGCTTGTTAGTTAGTACCATCGTTAAATATTCGTTTCACGAGCCGTTTACCAAAACACAGGCTTTAATTTGCGGCTTTACATACAGTCCAGTCGAAAATATGTTTTTATTTTGCTTGAAGTATTGTAAAAACTATTTTTTAATTACTTAAAAAGGTAGTATACACTGCTATGCTAGCTTTCATCCATAAAAGCGCACTAAAATTAATTCAGTTATAGCCACAACTTATGCTCAGGCATTATGTTTTCCCTGCCTAGTGTTTTAAAAAAATAGTAGTATGTTATACTACTTTTTTTAGTTCCAAAATTTGCTGCTTCTAATGATTTTCTTAATTTCTTTAACTTTTTCCTCTACCTAGCGGTTTAAAAAATAGTAGTATATTATACTACTTTTTTTTGGTATATTATACTACTTTTTTTAGTTCCAAAATTTGCTTCTCTTAATGATTTTCTTAATTTTTGCAATTAAATTGTTTTTTTTTTCACCTTTAACAGCACTCTGACTGCTAATATTTCGTATTTCCAACTCACTTCCTAACACTATCGCCATGATATGTCATTATTTAGCAGCATCTAACACTTTTCTGTAATTTCGCAACATTTAATTAAATTTATTTACCACCAAATGTCTGCAAACTTAGCACTTAACTTCTTCAAAGACAACAAAGCGAATGTAACAAAAGTACTTAAGCAAATATTTCCAGGCAACAATATATACTTATATAAGTAATGCGATAGCACTACAGCAGCTCGTTACAGCTCAACCCATTTCGCCATTTTTTTTATCGTAACTCTTTGCTATTTCTTCTTAAATTTGCTGGCCAAACACCTTCAAGAGCCTTTCACTGTGCAACTGTTCCTCAAGCGTTGAATTATTTTGTAAATTATACAAAAAGCCTGTGAAGCGAGTGAAGAGCTTTCAGCGCAAACAGATCCATCAACGTGACTTCTTACATTACAAAAACAAATAACGGTAATAATGATAAAATAAAATGAAAATGGGCTAGTCATTTCACTAGCAGATTTTTATTAAAATTGTTGTTGCTGTCATCACAACATTGTTTGTTGTAATATATGCTTACATAAGTGGCGACTCAAAGCAATTGCCGGAGAAATGCCAAGATGCAAAGTTTAAAATAAATTGCGCAGGAAATCCGAATTTTGCTGAAATAATGACGACTTTTACTTTCCAAGTGATAGTCACATCAAATTGCAATGGAAGTTATCAAGAGCGTCATAATGATGCAAGATTAAAATAAATTTGTATGATGGTATTAAGATTGAGCTACTCGGTGATTATTTGATTAAATTTGAT